CCTGCGCCGGCCGAGGCGTAGCTGGCAAGCGGCAGAGACGGAGCAGGTAGACCACCAGCTGGCCCAGCCCAAGGGAGGTAAGGCACCTGCCGGAAAAGGGGGAAAAAAAGGCGGACAAAAAAAATGGCGGACAAAAAAAATGGCGGACAAAAAAAATGGCGGACAGCCTTGCTTGGCGACCCCCGTGAAATGGTCGATCGGCCCCAAATGGGGTCCCGACCCACAGGTTGAGAACCACTGGTTTAGTCCCTCTTCCAAGATGCTCAACCAGCCTGGCCCAAACTTTGGGAGCCGGACTCTCCGCAGGTGTGGAGAAGGCCCATCGCCAGGATGCTCTGGAATTCTTCCCTGGACAGTTTTGATAAGCAAGGGCTGGAAGGACGGCGGGCAGCTGTGAAGAAATATCTGTGCAACTTGCAAATTAATCCGATGACTTATGTCGTCCTGCATCCAGCGACGTGTCTGGAGAGGTGGAAACTTTAATCGGCTTTCCGCTCAGAGGCTGATGAAGGAATAGATCTCCGGGACAGGGACATCCATCATGGCCAGGATGTTAGGCTGGCGCTTAATGACCTCAAGAGCGACAAATTCATCTCTTTTCTCGGCTGCGCTACTCCATCATTGACACAAGGCTGGCACCGGTGGTTAAAGATGGGCGGAGATGACCCAAAGATAACATGTTCCTTCTTTTCACGGCCTCTCTCTGTCCACCGGCCTTGGCAAGATTAAAATGGAGAAGGGGCCCTACTTCTTCCCAGAGCTTTTAGATTAAGATCAGGTGAAGTGTTAATACCGCTTTACAAGGCCTTGGTAAGGCCACACTTGGAATGCGGCATCCGGTTTTGGTCACCACGATGTAAAAAAGATGTTGAGACTCTGGAAAGAGTGCAGAGAAGAGCAACAAAGAGGATCAGGGGACTGGAGGCTAAAGCATATAAGGAACGGCTGCTGGAATTGGGTATGTCTGGTTTAAGGAAGAGAAGGATGAGGGAGGATATGATAGCAGTCTTCCAGTATCTCAGGGGCTGCCCCAAAGAAGAGGGAGTCAAGCTATTCTCCAAAGCCCCTGAAGGCAGGACAAGAAGCAACGGATGGAAACTCATCAAGGAGAGAAGCAACCTGGAATTAAGGAGAAACTTCCTGACAGTGAGAACAATTAACCAGTGGAACAACCTGCCTCCAGAAGCGGTGAATGCTCCAATAATAATAAAGATAATAATAATAAAGTTGGAAGGGACCTTGGAGGTCTTCTAGTCCAACCCCCTGCTCAGGCAGGAAACCCTATACCATTTCAGACAAATGGCTGTCCAGTCTCTTCTTCTTCTTCTTCTTCATCATCATCATATCATCATTATCATCATCATCAAGTTAGAAGGGACCTTGGAGGTCATCTAGTCCAACCCCCTGCTCAGGCTGGAAACCCTATACCATTTCAGACAAATGGCTGTCCAGTCTCTTCTTCTTCTTCTTCTTCTTCTTCTTCTTCTTCTTCTTCTTCTTCTTCTTCTTCTTCTTCTTCTTCTTCTTCTTCTTCTTCTTCTTCTTCTTCATCATCATCATCATCATCATCATCATCATCATCATCATCATCATCATCATAAAGTTAGAAGGGACCTTGGAGGTCATCTAGTCCAACCCCCTGTTTAGGCAGGAAACCCTATACCATTTCGGACAAATGGCTGTCCAGTCTCTTCTTAAAAACGTCCAGTGTTGGAGCATTCACCGCTTCTGGAGGCAGGTGGTTCCACTGGTTAATTGTTCTATCTGTCAGGAAGTTTCTCCTTAGTTCTAGGTTGCTTCTCTCCTTGATGAGTTTCCATCCGTTGCTTCTTGTCCTGCCTTCTTCAGGGGCTTTGGAGAATGGCTTGACTCCCTCTTCTTTGGGGCAGCCCCTGAGATATTTTTATGAAAACTAGGATTACAAGGGCCATATGTTTCAGCCCTGAAATGTAAATTTGGGGGATTTGGCTTGGTCTAGGATGCTCACAGCTTCCAGCTGAAGCCGTGGATGAGTCTGTCCGTGTATTCTGTGATTAAGGAGTCTCTTCAACCCTGGACTGCATATATTCCCTTATATTGGTGTCACTTTTGATGGAGGGTTTAAACAGTATTTGGAGCTATCGAAGTGGTGGAATCCTGCCCAGGCAGAGGGCTGGACTGGAAGACCTCCAAGGTCCATTCCGTTCTCAATGTCCATCTGCAAAGCTCTTCCCCCCCAAATGCAAATGGGCTGGATTTGATTAGTAGCTTTAGTGCTTCGTTATAAAAACCTCTAAAATGCCAAATGGACTCTGGCCGTAAATCTTAACAACGGATTTTTAACAAGCTCTTCAGCTACGACAGGGGCCTTCAAACTGGGCCCTTTGGTGACTTATGGACTTCAACTCCCAGAATTCCTCAGCCAGGCACACTTTTCTCTCTCTCTCTCTCTCTTTCTCTTTCTCTCTCTCTCTCCTCTTCTTTCTCTCTCTCTTCTCTCTCTTTCTTTCTCTTTCTCTCTTTTTCTCTCTCTCCTCTGTTATTTCTCTTCTTTCTCATCTCTCTCTGCTCTCTCTTCTTTCTCTTCTCTCTCTCTTTCTCTCTTTTTTCTCTCTCTCTTCTCTCTCTTCGTTCTCTCTCTCTGCTCTCTCTTCTTTCTCTCTTTCTCTTCTCTCTCTCTCTCTCCTCTCTTCTTTCTCTTCTTTCTGTTCTCTCTCTCTTCTCTCTCTCTTTTTCTTTCTTTCTTTCTCTCTTTCTCTCCTCTCTTCTTTCCCTTCTTTCTTCTCTCTTCTCTCTCTCTCTCTTTCTTTTTCTTTCTTTCTCTCTTTCTCTCCTCTCTTCTTTCTCTCTCCTCTCTCTTTCTCTCTTTTTCTCTCTCTCTTCTCTCTCTCTCCTCTGTTATTTCTCTTCTTTCTCATCTCTCTCTGCTTTCTCTTCTTTCTCTTCTCTCTCTCTCTTTCTCTCTCTTCTCTCTCTTTTTCTTTCTCTTTCTTTCCTCTCTTCTTTTTCTTCTTTCTCTTCCCTCTCTCTTCTTTCTCTTCTCTCTCTCCTCTCTTCTCTCTCTTCTTTCTCCTCTCTCTCTTCTCTCTCTCTTCTTTCTTTTTTTCTTTCTCTTTCTCTCGCTTTTTCTTTCTCTCTCTTTCTCTCTTTTTTCTCTCTCTCTCTCCTCTCTGTTCTTTTTCTTCTCTCTCTCTGCTCTCTCTTCTTTCTCTCTCTCATTCTCTCTCCTCTCTTCTTTCTCTTCTCTCTCTCTTTTTCTTTCTCTCTCTTTCTTTCCTCTCTTCTTTCTCTTCTCTCTCTGGCTTTTGAACCCTGTCCAACTTCAGTGATTTTTTTCATTCAGTTATCAGAGCCAAATCTATCTCCCCACAACTGTGAAGGCAGCAGAGCAGATTGAAAACGAATGAGAAATGGGTCCCCCGCTGGAGTGCTCGGCCAAAGGCAGGGGAAAAACCCCCGTAGGAGCTGGTGCTTTTCATCTATCAGGATGAAAGCAACACAGACACGCACACACAAACACGCACACACACACACAAACGAGAAGCTCTCATGAACAGCTAGACAATTCGCTGGGGAGAAAACAAACCTCCAGAACGAGAGGGAAGGAAGGGAAGTCGGTAATCCTTCGGCTTGACTCGTCGGATTTCGTGGTTTCAAGGAACCGAGTTCCAATCCAGATCGAGGGATAAAAGGCTCACCTCTTTCGGGTGAACCCGCAGACAGGTGCTCAGGTGAGGGAGAAGTCCAGCTCAAGAGGAAAGAAATGACCAGCTCAGTTGGAGAATGAGGGATGGAGGAAGAGCAGCTGGTCACCCTTTTAAACTGGCGGGGGGGAGGTCTAAAAAGTCAAGATGGCAGATGCAACAGTGGGATGGAAACATTGCCTCTTTTCAGGTGTGTTTCTGAACTGTACTCTAGGCAGGGGTAGTCAACCATGGCTCTTTTATGACTCGTGGACTTCAACTCCCAGAATTCCTGAGCCAGCATGGCTGGCTCAGGAATTCTGGGAGTTGAAGTCCACGAGTCATAAAAGAGCCAAGGTTGACTACCCCTGCTCTAGGGACATTTTCCCACAACAACTTTGTGGGTTGGGCTGAGAGGGAGGGACTGGCTAAAGTCCCCCAATCAGATTTCAACCTAAGGCAGAACTAGAACTCACCGTCTCCTGGTGATTGGTCCAAAGTCACCCGGCTGGCTTTCATGCCTAAGGCAGGACTAGAACTCACCATCTCCTGGTGATTGGCCCAATGTCACCCAGCCGGCTTCCATGCTTAAGGCGGGACTAGAACTCACCATCTCCTGGTGATTGGCCCAAAGTCACCCGGCCGGCTTTCATGCCTAAGGCGGGACTAGAACTCACCGTCTCCTGGTGATTGGCCCAAAGTCACCCAACAGGCTTTCATGCCTAAGGCGGGACTAGAACTCACCGTCTCCTGGTGATTGGTCCAAAGTCACCCAGCCGGCTTTCATGCCTAAGGCGGGACTAGAACTCACCGTCTCCTGGTGATTGGCCCAAAGTCACTCAGCCAGCTTTCATGGCTAAGGTGGGACTAGAACTCACCATCTCCTGGTGATTGGCCCAAAGTCAGCCAGCAGGCTTTCGTGCATAAGGCGGGACTAGAACTTATTTGTTTCTAGCCTGTTGCCTTTAACCACTAGATCAGATTGTATCTCACCTGGAATTGCTGCTACAACTTCCTGCTTTTCGTAATCAGGGCTGTGATTTGTCTGAAGATCAAGCCTTGGGTGGTGCTAGGCTTGTGTAGGCCTAACAGATGCACACTCCCGCCGTTTCCTTTGGGATGTTTTTCCAGTTTCTCAGTCTATCCTTCTGCTGTGGGATCTCCTAGTGGTCTCCTATCCCAAAACCGAACTGGCACTTCTTCTTGGACGGTTTCCCCCTAAGCCATTCATCCCGGCTGTTCTTCTCCTTTGGGAATTGAGGAATTGAATTGGGATTACCTTCCCAATGATCTCCTTTTGCTTCTGTTTGGTTGATGAATCCGCTTTTGTCCTTCCAGAGATGCCGTCCTTCAGCAGAAGAGGGTGGTCTGCAACGGGCTGCCGGCGGGCGAGCTGCAGGGCAAGCCGGTGGCTGGCTTGGCAGCCCCCTTAGCCCCTGGCAAGCAAGGTAAGAGAGCGACGCAGCAAAAAAGTTCATAAAACTGAGCAGGTCTCGCTTAGCAATGGAATTTCTGGTCCCCAACTGTGGTCATAAATCAAGGACTATGATGTAGGTTGACAGTGTTAGCCCTTGGTTGTCTAGAACCGAACAATGTCAGTGGTGACCCTTTGAGAGCTGAAGGTAGTGAAATTTCGTTTTAATGTATGCCGATTAGTGTACATTTGAAGTGACGATAAAGTTATTATTCTATTCTATTCTATTCTATTCTATTCTATTCTATTCTATTCTATTCTACTCTATCCTGTAATTCTATTCTATTCTATTCTATTCTATTCTGTATTTCTATTCTAATTTCTATTCTATTCTATTCTATTCTGCTCTATTCTATTGTATTCTGTATTTCTATTCTATTCTATATTCTATTTTATTCTGTATTTCTATTCTATTCTATTATATTCTATTCTGTAATTCTATTCTATTCTGTATTTCTATTCTATTTCTATTCTAATTTCTATTCTATTCTAATTCTATTCTATTCTATTCTATATTCTATCCTATTCTATTCTGTATTGTCTATTCTATTCTATTTCTAATCTATTCTATTCTATTCCTATTCTATATTCTATTCTATTCTGCTCTATTCTATTCTATTCTATATTTCTATTTTATTCTATTCTATTCTATATTCTATTCTATTCTATTGTATTCTGTATTTCTATTGTATTCTGTATTTCATTCTATTCTGTATTTCTATTCTATTCTATTCTATTTCTATTCTATTCTATTCTATTCTATTCTATTCTATTCTATTCTATTCTATTCTATTCTATTTCCTTTCTATTCTATTCTATTCTATTCTATTCTATTCTATTCTATTCTATTCTATTCTATTCTTCTCCCTTTTGGCTAGTTTATTTTCATTCTTCCTCTTTCCCCCCACCCTTTTTTTTCAGTGCTAATCAATCCTTTGGTGGACAAGGATTCGGGAGTCGTGGTATGCGTGATCCTAGTGAGTATCTGGAGGAAAAAGCCCTTGAAAACCGAGTTTGTGAAGGATAATGTCATCTTCCTAATGTGTGTGTAAGGCAGAGAGGACAAAAGAATCAAGATGGCGGCCACAGCCACTTGGAAATCAAAAGCCAACTCCCTTTTTTAATGTGTTACAGCCGCCATTTTGATTATTTGACCCTCTCTCTGAGGAGAAGAAGCCTCAACCAATTACATGACGTTCTGCCCAGCCCTTTATGACTCGTGGACTTCAACTCCCAGAATTCCTGAGGCAGCCAGCATGGCTGCCTCAGGAATTCTGGGATTTGAAGTCCACAGGTTTAAAGTCACCGTTGGCCACGCTGGCTTTTGCCTGTCCCTCTAGCAATAGTAGTTGTGCATCCAGGTGTACATCCGAAGAGAGCTGTGGAGGACACCAGGGAGAAAAGATGTTGGGCGGACGAAACATAGAATATAATTGTTTGTTTCTACGCCGAGTTTTTCTTTGTTTTATCTTTCTTGGTTTTATGGGTAAGAAAACGCTGTATGGAGGCAGCCGAGATCCATTTTTAACCAAGTTCCTTAAGGCACCCTGGAGCTTCGATAGATTGTGGTTTTTTTCTGAATTATTGATGCTTATTGATCGATGGATCACGGTTACGATACCATCCACGGCAGGGTTTCTGCTTGATCTTTGACTTTTGCTCCTTAAGTCTTTTGCCCTGGCTGTTGGTTTGCTTTTTGACAAAGCTGTTTGAGTTCGATTGGCAGGAAGGAAAGAAGGAAGGAAGGAAGGAAGAAGGAAAGAAAGAAAGAAAGAAAGAAGGAAGGAAGGAAGGAAGGAAAGAAAAAAAGAAAGAAAGAAAGAGAAAGAAAGAAAGAAAGAAAGAAAGAAAGAAAGAAAGAAAGAAAGAAAGAAAGAAAGAAAGAAAGAAAGAAAGAAAGAAAGAAAGAAAGAAAGAGAAAGACAGACAGACAGACAGACTTTGGATCGGAGGCATCCCGGATCTGGAGAGTCTTCATTTTTAATTCTAGACACAATAGTGTTTGTGCAATTCGGGGATAGTTGTGGATTTAGGAAGGGAGGGAGGGAGGGAGGGAGGGAGAGAGAGAGAGAGAGAGAGAGAGAGGAAGGAAGGAAGGAAGGAAAAGAAAGAAAGAAAGAAAAATAGAAAAAAGAAAGAAAGAAAGAAAGAAAAGAAAGAGAGAGAGAAAGAAAGAAAGAAAGAAAGAAAGAAAGAGAAAGAAGGGAAGGAAGGAAGGAAGAGAAAGAAAAAGAAAGAAAGAAAGAAAGAAAAGAGAGAAAGAAAGAAAGAAAGAAAGAAAGAAAGAAAGAAAGAAAGAAAGAAAGAAAGAAAGAAAGATCTCTCTTATTACCACTGTGGTTTATTTTTTATCCCTTCTCGTCTGCCCACCTTCTTATCCAACCCATGGGGGTCCGCAGTAAGACAAATGGGATGAAAGGGATATCCTCCCTCCCCTATGAGTGAGAAGGGCAGTTAAGAAGTCTGATAAATAAACAAAAGAAATAAAAGTAAATATCACACACCTCCTGGACGTTGAAACCTGGCCCTCTTTGCCTCCTGTGGCTGGGGAATTCTGGGAGTTGAAGTCCAGCCATCCCAAAGGTGCTTTTTTTTTTTTTCCAGGAGGCCCCTGGACTTTCTTGTTTTTCTCTGAAGACGTTTCACTTCTCATCCAAGAAGCTTCTTCAGGTTCTGGCTGAATAGTGGGGAAGGGAAGGATTTATACACCTTGCAAATTCTTGCAAATCCTTCCCTTCCCCACCATCCAGTCAGAGCTGAAGAAGCTTCTTGGGATGAGAAGCGAAACGTCTTCAAAGACAAAACAAGACAGTCCAGTGGCCTCCTGGAAAAAAAAAAAAGCACTTTTGGGTCAACCAGGACCTGGATGACGGAGAACCTCCAGAGACAAGCCCAGCCATCTTCAAGTGGCCGAGGTTGAGAACCACTGTCTTCTAGGATGCTCTGACTACAACGTTTTATTTTATTAATTTCCACTCGCCCTTCTGTGCATGCTCTGAGTGTGTCCGTTCCTCTTTTGATTCCTTTACTTTGACTTCCCCAGATCTCCTGCGGTCAACTTTCCGAGTCGGATGAGCAAAACCTTCGCGCTTTGGAAAAGCACGTAAGTGACGCCCCCCTTTCCTAAAATCCTTCGGGAATGGAGGGGTGGGGCTCTCTCTTTTTCCTTCTGCCTCCTGGCATCACAAAAAAAAGAGAAGCTACAGGTCGTCCTCCACTTACGACGATGCCTGAGCCCAAAATTCCGTGGCCAAGCAAGAAAATTGCTCAGTGGGTTTTTCCCCGTTTTATGACCATTCCCCCCGCCGTTCTTAAGCAAGTCACCGCAGCTGGCAAGTTAGTAATACGGTTGTGAACTGAATCTGGCTTCCTCGTTGACTTCGCTCATCGAAAGCCTACCTCGCATGACCCCGGGACAGTGAAACCATCCTAAGTACATGCCAGTTGCCAAGTGTCCAGATTTTGATCACATGACCGCGAGGATGCTGCAAAAGTATGGCAAACAATATTCAGTCACTTTCTTTAAGGCCATTGTAGCTCTGAACGGTCACTAAACGAAGCATTGTAAGTCAAGGACTACTGGTAATGGCTCGTTAAGTGGGTCGTCTGTCTTTGCACCGTGGTGTAGAGTTTCTTGGCTCCGTTGTTCTCCTGTGGGTGTCTCCTCCTCCTTAAAATACAACTTCCAACAGTGCTGGGCTGCATGAACAGAGGGATAGAATCAAGATCACGGGAAGGGTTAATACCACTTTACAAGGCCTTGGTAAGGCCACACTTGGAATACGGCATCCAGTTTTGGTCACCACGATGTAAAAAAGATGCTGAGACTCTAGAAAGAGTGCAGAGAAGAGCAACAAAGATGATCTGGGGACTGGAGGCTAAAACATATAAGGAACGGTTTCTGGAATTGGGTATGTCTAGTTTAACGAAGAGAAGGACGAGGGGGGACAGGATAGCAGTGTTCCAGTATCTCAGGGGCTGCCCCAAAGAAGAGGGAGTCAAGCTATTCTCCAAAGCCCCTGAAGGCAGGAGAAGAAGCGACGGATGGAAACTAACCAAGGAGAGAAGCAACCTGGAACTAAGGAGGAATTTCCTGACAGTTATTACAATCAATCAGTGGAACAACTTGCCTCCAGAAGTTGTGAATGCTCCAACAGTGAATAGAATAGAATAGAATAGAATAGAATAGAGCTGGAAGGGACCTTGGAGATCTTCTAGTCCAGCCCACTGCTCAAGCAGGAGAACCTATATCATCTCAGACAGGTGGATGTCCAGTCTCTTCTTAATAATCTTCAGTGATGGAACGCCCACAATTTCTGGTGGCAAGCTGTTCCACTGGTTGATTGTCCTCACTGTCAGGAAATTTCTCCTTAGTTCGAGGTTGCTTCTCTCTTTGGTCAGTTTCCAACCATTGTTTCTTGTGCTGTCTTCAGGGGCTTTGGAGAATAATGTGACCCCATCCTCTTCTTTGTGGCAGCCCCTCTGATACTGGAACACTGCTATCCTATCTCCCCTATTTCTTCTTTTCCTTAGACTAGCCAGACCCAAATCCCGCAGCCATTCTTCGTATGTTTTAGTCTCCAGGCCCCTGGAAGGTTTTAAGAAGAGACTGGACAACCATTTGTCTGAAATGGTGCAGGGTTTCCTGCCTGAGCAGGGGGTTGGACTAGATGACCTCCAAGGTCCCTTCCAACTCTGTTATTTTGTTCTTCTGGTTCCTCCGAATTCATTAGAATCTGCCTATATATGAAGTGCCAGAGAGAGGTTGTAGACCCTGTTTGGTGGTGGCTGGCTTTAAAATTAAACATTCCCAGCCCTGCAAGTCAATTCTACTATATCTTCTGGGTCAGATGTCCTCGGAGAAAGTGTGGGAAAACTAAGAACGGGGAGGACATGGAATCAAAACAACCATCGCATTACAACAGGCCACGAGGATGTGTCACACAATCTAAACCAGAGACCATTGGGACATCAGATCAAAGAGCATCAACATCAAGTTGGGGGGGGGGGAACAGAGTTAACAGCTAAGGCTTTTACCCCCCTTTTCCAGGATATTTTTTTTGTATTGGAAAGTTTTATAAAAATTACAATATAAACCCCAAAACCTACCCACCCTAATCCCCCCCTCTCCCTCCCCCGCTTCCCAGAGCTAAATACAGGGTTACAAATATAATAATCATAATCTAACTAACATTAACCAACTATATAAATAACCAAGTCCATAATGCGCTTTAACTCCTCTTTAACATACATATAATAATAATAATTAAAACATAAACAAATTAGTGTCCTAATTATTAAACAATAGAATATCCATATTGTTAAACCATACTAATACTGAAAGTAATAATAATATCATATAATTAAAACTAACAAAAATTTCACTATAATAAACTATTAATACTAATAATACTCTAAAATTTACTCATAGGCTAAATGGAACTTTTTAGTCCCATATTTGTTCTGAATATAATCTATCCATCTTCTCCAAACCGAAATGTATCTTTCTTGTGAGGGATCCTTCAAATAGGCAGAAATCTTAGCCATTTCTGCTAAATTTGACACTTTTAAGCGTCCATTCTTCTATATTTCTAGGATATTTTTAAACTTGAAAAGTTTGGATGGCAAATTTCATGTCGATAAGAGGCGATTGCCAAGAACCACACAGGGGGAAAAAAAATAATTTTAATTTTAGGGTAAGGAGGGGCCGTGGGCCTTGGCATGGGAATCCCACCTCATCCCCAGCTGTTTTGTTGGAATCACAGCTGGCTTTCTGTTTTCTATCAATTGCGCTGGAAGGAGGATAGGAAATGTTTATTTTAGCTTTTCTTATTTCTGTAGAAACAGCCAGCCTCGTGCTTGGGAAAGGAGTCCAAATCAGGCACGCCCTTTATATGACCACAATTTCCGTTACTTAGCAAGAAAGTCATTCAGTCAGTTTTGTCCCATTTTACGACCTTTCTTGCTTCTTAAATGAATCGCTGCAGTGGTTCAGTTAATAATAATAATAATAATAATAATAATAATAATAATAATAATAATAATAATAATAATAATAATAATAATAATAATAATATAAAGTTGGAAGGGACCTTGGAGGTCATCTAGTCCAACTCCCTGCTCAGGCAGGAAACCCTATACCATTTCAGACAAAGGGCTGTCCAGTCTCTTCTTAAAAACTTCCAGTCTTGGAGCATTCACCGCTTCTGGAGGCAGGTGGTTCCACTGGTTAATTGTTCTCACTGTCAGGAAGTTTCTCCTTAGTTCCAGGTTGCTTCTCTCCTTGATGAGTTTCCATCCGTTGCTTCTTCTCCTGCCTTCAGGGGACTTGGAGAATAGCTTGACCCCCAACTCTTCTTTGGGGCAGCCCCTATACTGCTCTATACCATCTCAGGCAGGTGGATGTCCAGTCTCTTCTTAAAAATCTCCAATGATGGAGCGCCCACGATATCCTCTCCTTTGGATAAAATAATCTATTTAACCCTTTCTGCTTCTCTTTGCTGTGGGGAATAACGTATACCTAGATACTCAAGAGTTGTGTGAATGTAGCCATGTAGGGCTTCCTCCTCTGCCAATGAGTTCTTCAACCCATCCTTTAGCTAGACCGGGTTGTTTTAAAACAGGAGTGACTTCTTCCTTTCTGAACGTGGTCTCTTGCAGATCCTGGTCTCCTACAAGCGTCTCCAAAGCCTTCAGAAGTTGCAACCTTGCCAGGCGAAACCGGTGGAGCCCCCCAGGAGCAACTATAGCGAGCTGGACAGCAAGATCCTGCAGTTGTGCGGTAAGGGCCATTGACCATCCCCAGTTTTATAAGGCAGGAGAGACAATCAGTAACCAATTTTGTATAGAGGGAGTCCCTGACTTACAACTGTTGGTTTAGCCATCATTCAAAGTTACAACGGCGCTGAAAAAAGTGGCTTGTGACCGTTTTTCACACTTACGACCGTCGCAGCCATCCCTGCGCTCATGTGTTCAAAATTTGGAGGCTTGTGGCTTGGAGGGCTGCACTGGATCGAGCAGAAGGGCTACCGCCCTCCCGTGATCAAGTGGGGATCCCCTCCTTGCTGGTCCCCCCTGCAGGGCGACTTTCGACCCTTTCCAGGGTCCCCCAGCGATGCGGAATCGGATGTGGAAGTCGGAACTCGCCTTCCAAACATCCGCGGCAGCCACGGCGGCAAACCAGAAGTCATTCAGTTACAACGGCCCTGAAAAAAGCAGCTTGTGACCATTTTTCACACTTACGACCGTCGCAGCCATCCCCGCAGTCATGTGATCAAAATTCGGAGGCTTGGCAACTGGCATGTACTTGTGATGGTTGCAATGTCCCGGGGGGGGGGGTCACGTGATCCCCGTTTTGCGACTTTCTGAAAAGCAAATTCAACGGGGGAAGCCAGGTTCATTTAACAACCGTGTTGCCGACATCAACGGCAGTGATTCACTTAACAACCGTGGCGAGAAAGGTCGGCCAATGGGGCAAAGCTCCCTTAACAACCGTCTCGCTTAGCAACGGAATGTTGGGCTCAGTACTGGTCGTAAGTCGAGGAACACCTATATATGTCTTTGCTGCGTTGTGTAATTTGGTCTATTGTAGGTAAGGGACCTGTTCTTGTTTTTATTAGATGTGGACATGGCTGAAGATTTCATTTCTTGTTTCGCATGGCCGTGCCACTGTTTAGGGGTGAGGTGCGCCACCCGCCATTGCGTAGCAAGTGTAGCTTTGTCGATCCAGTCGTTCAATCCACAAACTCCGCATCTGTTGCCTTTCAGGGGAACTGTACGATCTGGACGCAGCCTCCCTCCAGCTTAAAGTCATTAATTATGTGAGTAATTAGCATTTTCCAAGTATTGATCTCCCCTGGATGTGCTTAGATCAGGGGGTTGGACTAGAAGACCTCCAAGGTCCCTTCCAACTCTAGCTATTCTATTCTATTCTATTCTATTCTATTCTATTCTATTCCATTCCATTCCATTCCATTCCATTCTGTATTTCTATTCTATATTTCTATTCTATTCTATTCTATTTTCTATTCTGTTCTGTTCTGTTCTATTCTATTCTGTATTTCTATTCTGTTCTGTTCTATTGTGTTCTATATTTCTATTTTATTCTATGCTATGCTATGCTATTCTATTCTATTCTATTTCTTATTCTATTCTATTGTATTTCTATTCTATATTTCTATTCTATTGTATATTGCTATTCTATATTTCTATTCTATTCTATTCTGTATTTCTATTCTGTTCTGTTCTTTTCTATTGTGTTCTATATTTCTATTCTATGCTATGCTATGCTATGCTATTCTATTCTTATTCTATTCTTTTCTGTATTTCTATTCTATATTTCTATTCTATTGTATATTTCTATTCTATATTTCTATTGTATATTTCTATTCTATTCTATTCTATTCTGTATTTCTATTCTGTTCTGTTCTGTTCTATTGTGTTCTATATTTCTATTTTATTTTATTCTATTCTATGCTATTTCATATTCTATTCTATTCTGTATTTCTATTCTATATTTCTATTCTATTCTATTCTGTATTTCTATTCTATATTTCTATTCTATTGTATATTTCTATTGTATATTTCTATTCTATTCTATTCTGTATTTCTATTCTGTTCTGTTCTATTGTGTTCTATATTTCTATTTTATTTTATTCTATTCTATGCTATTTCATATTCTATTCTGTATTTCTATTCTATATTTCTATTCTATTCTATTCTGTATTTCTATTGTGCTCTATTCTATTTCTATTGTGTTCTATATTTCTATTCTATTCTATTCTATTCTGTTTCTTATTCTATTCTATTCTATTCTATTCTATTCTATTCTATTCTATTCTATTCCTTTGTTGCAGTTCAGAGCAGGCTTACCCCACCCTACGTATTATTATTATTATTAATAATAATAATAATACAAATCTCTCCATCTTTCTCTGTCTTCTCTTCCAGCTGAAGGAGGAGACCCGGTCTCAGTGTTCCTGTCTTCTCCTGGTCTCAGAAGACAACAACCAGCTCTTCTGCCAGGTGGGTGGTTGAGGTTCCCCTGAGCCGAAGTCTTCTCTGTGGTCTTCCTGGTCACCTGTGTTGAGCGCGTACGTGAGTGTCGTGTGAACGAGGAGCCTAGTTGGGCAGCAATACGTACAGCTGCTTGAGTGGCCTTGTCGGCCGTAACCTATTGTAGTAAGACAACTTTGAAATTAGACCAGTTTATGTACAGATATAAAGGGGCTAATTAATTGCACACCGGCCTTGCTTTTTGTCCGAATAACACAAGAATAAAAGAACTATTGGAAAACTCTATTTTGAGGGACATCATCATCATCATCATCATCATCATCATCATCATCATAGTAGTAGTAATAATAATAATAGTAATAATAGTAATAACAATAGTAACAGTAACAGTAACAATAACAATAACAACAACAACAACAACAACAATAATAATAATAATAATAATAATAATAATAATAATAATAATAATAATAATAATAATAAAGTTGGAAGGGACCTTGGAGGTCATCTAGTCCAACCCCATGCTCAGGCAGGAAACCCTATACCATTTCAGACAAATGGCTGTCCAGTCTCTTCTTAAAAACTTCCAGTGTTGGAGCATTCACCGCTTCTGGAGGCAGGTAGTTCCACTGGTTAATTGTTCTCACTGTCAGGAAGTTTCTCCTTAGTTCTAGGTTGCTTCTCTCCTTGATTAGTTTCCACCCGTTGCTTCTTGTCCTGCCTTCTTCAGGAGCTTTGGAGAACAGCTTGACTCCCTCTTCTTTGGGGCGGCCCCTGAGATACTGGAAGGCTGCTATCATGTCCCCCCTCGTCCTTCTCTTCATTAAACTAGACATCCCCAATTCCAGCAACTGTTCCTTATATGTTTTAGCCTCCGGTCCCCTAATCATCTTTGTTGCTCTTCTCTGCACTCTTTCTTGAACTCAGTTTTGTGACATTCCTGCACAGCATCTTCATAGGAGACCCCCACATCCTACGGATGGCTTTTCAATGTGGAGGTAGCTGAATCTGCCCTTCGTGCTTTCCAGCTGTGCTGGCTAAGGAGGGTTGTAAGGAATTGCAAAAGTTGTGCCTTAATTTAATTTTTCATTTCGTTTCATTTCATTGTTGCACATTTGTAATCCTCAAAATATTCAGAAAACGTATTTGTCATGGCTTCCTTGGCTGAGAACGGCGTAAAAGATGGAAGAGGTTGTGACCTGAAATTAAATTAAATTAAATTAAATTAAATTAAATAATTAAATTAAATTAAATTAAATTAAATTAAATTAAATTAAATTAAATTAAATTAAATTAAATTAAATTAAATTAAATTAAATTAAATCAATGTCACGTCATTTGAGCAACGTTACAAGTAATTAGAAAACACATTGGTTACCTTTTATAGCTACGTTTATTTATTTACTTATTAGTGGATCAAATTTCTATGCCCATCTCAGCTAAGCAACTCTGGGTGGGTTTACCAGAAAAATATACAGTAGTACGAAAACAAGAGTCAAAAAAACAGAGATTAAAAACAGAATTAAAACAAGGTCAGAATGAATAACCTATTGTTATTCCAGAATCAATAAAATTGTGATTGGGCTCCGTGTGTGTTTAAAACTAGAATCCCATCTCATGTTTTTCTCAGCTAGAGTCATGGACCTTAGTTTGAACACCATTTTTCAATTGTCAACTGTTTTAAAAGTTTCCATTGTTCTCTCAGTATAGATTTGGTAGCTAGAGATCTTGAGAAATCAATTTAGCATTCTCTCCCTCAAGGAAATAACTTCAATTTAGGAAATGCTTTTTGTCTAATTATTGATCTTACTTCCTGGAATATTTGTGAGATGGGCAGCTATATAAATTCGATGAGATAAAGAGAGACAGACAGACTGACAGACCGACAGGCAGGAGAAAGAGGTAATAAGTAGATAGAAGAGAGAAAGAGATGACAGGAGAAAGACAAGATGGATGGACGGACGGACAGACAGACAGACAGACAGACAGACAGACAGACAGACAGGAGAGATGGAGAAATTAGGTGGGTGGATGGGTGGGTGGATAGATGGATAGATAGAGAGATAGAAGAGATAGATAGATAGATAGATAGATAGATAGATAGATAGATAGAGAGAGAGAGAGAGAGAGAGAGAGAGAGAGAGAGAGAGAGAGAGAGAGAGAGAGAGAGAGAGAGAGAGAGAGAGAGAGAGAGAGAGAGAGAGAAATTAGGTGGGTGGATGCATGGATGGATGGATGCATGGAGGGATGGATGGATGCATGGAGGGATGGATGGATGCATGGAGGGATGGATGGATGCATGGAGGGATGGATGGATGGATGGACGGACAGACAGAGAGATAGATAAGAGATAAATTGGATGGATGGATGGATGGATGGATGGATAGAGACAGACAGACAGACAGATGAGAGATACTATAGATAGAAAGATAGACGAGAGAGACAGACAGACAGACAGACAGACAGACATTAGATAGATAGATAGATAGATAGATAGATAGATAGATAGATAGATAGATAGATAGATAGATAGATAGATAGATGGATGGATGGATGGATGGATGGATGGATGGATGGATGGATGGATGGATGGATGGATGGATGGATGGATGGATGGATGGATGGATGGAGCAGCTCCCTCTGGGAGTTGTGGGTGCTTCACTGCCTTGGGCTATGCTGGCTGAGGAATTCTTGGAGTTGGAAGTCCACAAGTCTCAAAGGGGCCACATGTGGAGACCCCTGTTCTAATGGGATGGGAAATGACAGAGAGAAATAGAGGAGGACTTTTTCTGACCAGCCCAAATTTTCTTTCTTGTAGGTGGTTGGAGATAAAGTCTTGGAGGAGGACATGAGCTTCCCAGTAAGTTGCTAAACCCACCCCTCTCGTTGTGACGCTCAGGTTGTGAGTGCTGATCCTTCAGTGTCTAAAATAGTGTCTTCCACACACACAAAGGGGAAGAGTTCGCAGCCTTAAGAGAGCGCCAAGTTGATCTCGCAATGAGAAAAAAATCAGTACAGATGGGCCTCCAAAGCCAGCCACATGTACCCCAATGTTCTCAAGAGCTTCAGACTGGCTGGAGGGGTCTGTAATGGGTGGAAAGAACAGCCTTGAGGAGCAGAAGGAAGACCTGGAACCAAGACAGTGGTCAGATAAGAAAAAGCTGAGTCCAAAGCAGAACTGTAATTTGAGAAAGTGTCCAGTTGGCTTTCATGCCTAAGGCGGGACTAGAACTCCCCGTCTCCTGGCGATTGGCCCAAAGTCACCCAGTTGGCTTTCATGCCT